CCTGATATGGTTTGTGTTTTAAGATAGTCTCTCACTGGGACCTGGGGCTTGCTGATTAGGTTAGGCTGTGTCTAAAGGACTCCAGAGTCCTTGTGTTTCTGCCTCCCCAGTGCTGGGATCGAACTCAAGTCCTCATTCGTGTAAATGCCCAGTGATGTCCTGACAGAACTTTCTCCCTTCTTTATCATATGCAATCAGTCCTCCAACCCAAATGCAGGTCACTGTGCCAAGTGCAAAACGTTCATTTTCCAGAGAACCCTGGGCACTTGGCAGGTAAAGAGATTCTAAATGGATCATTCAAGTGACTTGGGGATCATCTGAGCAGAAGAAAACGGTGTTAAAAGCCAGCCTTCCTGCTCATGGCCACCATTTCCTGGCTTTGTGAAGCAAGCTTTCACTTCTCTTTTTCTTTCTTATTTTTTTAAAATCGTGTGTATTCTTGTGTCTGTGTGGGTATGAATAGGTGTGTGTACATATCCTTAGAGGCCCAAAGAGGAAACTGGATAGGCCCCTCCAGAACTAGTCACAGGCAGTTGTGAAGGGTCCAACATGGGTGCAGCAAGCCCTCTTAATGCTGAGCCATCTCCCCATCCTCTTTTTCTTGTCTTTTCTCTTCTTGTCTTGTTGAGACACAACTCTCCCTAGTTAGCCTAGGCTGGCCTTGAACTTGAGGTCCTTCAGCTTCAGCCCCCAGAGTGATGGGATTACAGTGGTGTACCACCAGGTCCAGTTCAGCTGGAGCTGAGGATCAAATCCAGGGCTTTGTTCACCCTAAAAAAGCCCTTGTCCACCCATCCAAAGGCCCCAGAGTGTTTTTAATTAGCCGAGAATTCAATGACTAAGAGATAAAGACTGTTGTTGAAAACCAATGAAAGCAGGGATGGGGCTGTAGCTCAGCAGTGGAGTGCTTTGACAAGCATGTGTGAGGCTTTAGGTCCAACCTCTAGCACTCAGTAATAGTGGTAGTGGTGGTGGTGGTGGTAGTAGTAGTAATAATAATAATAATTAATATTAATAATAATAGAAGAATAATAAAATGGAAAGGAAAACCGTGGCTTGGACAATTCTGAAGATGAATGGAATGGGAGATCCTTGTCACTCTACTGACCTTGTGCATACAGAGGCCTCATACAGGGCCCTGCTCAGAATTAGGGAGGGAGAGACAGTCACACCCCAGGAAGATTAGACATGTGACAGGTGCCAAGGTTGGAGCTGGAGGAAACCCAGAGGGAAAGTACTTCCTTCTCATGTCAGTAAGGAAGTCTGGGAAGGTGTTATGTGGCATCGTTATCTCTAAGGAAGAAATGTTCATATGATGCTTTCTAGAATCATACCGGTCTCCATGGAGAAATCACCACTCAAGTGCTCAGGAATCTGGCTGAAAACTCTGAGCGAATATCTGGTGCAAGTTCTGACATGATCTGGCCTCTTCATAATGGATGAGCCCCTCTGCCAGTAGAGAAGGAAAAATTAAGCAAGTGATTCAGCCAGGACCCAGAACTGATTCTAGATTGAACACAATAACTGGCCTCCAAAGCCTCGAGCAGGCCCCTTCCCCCCACTCAGGTCAGTTTCAGGACCCCTCTAAGACAAAGAACTGGTAGTTTTTCGGTCTTTGCTGGACAGGCCTGTCCTCCGAGTCAAATTGCCACTGTCTTCATGAGTCCAGCTGTGCCCACTTGCAAAAGACCACCACAGCTGGGCTTGTTGACTGTTGATCACTCCCTGCCAGGTGCCACCTGTAGCAAGAGGTCTTGTATAATATTAGAGGGACCAGCCTTAATATTATACTTCCCAGGGGCTCAGGAGAGAGAACTACGAACAGCGAGGACTATTTTCAGGAAATAAAATCTCAGCACACCGAGCTCTTAGTCCAATCATTTATTCTTCCAAATCTTCTTCTCCATCTTTCCGTGCCCTGGGAGTCCCGGTATATATACACTTATAAGCAGTAATCCCTTGGCAGTGCAAAGCCAGGACTCCAGGGTCAAACGGAGGGGTGATAAAAATCACATAGAGGGGCAGTAATTGTTAATTATCATTTGCAACCCAAGAGGGAAGTGACTAATGGGGAAATGAATTAACTAAAGGCTAAATTCAGGTAATATCTAAGAAGAGGGATCTTATGTGCTCCACTATAATCTTAAACATGATTGGTAGAAAATGTTAAGAATCAGTAAGTTGCTGGATCAATGGGAGAAAATAAAACTGTCTTCTTTTTCCTGTAGCCCCTCTCTGTCCAAGCTATCTGCAGTTTTTCTGCAGAGTGGAGGAAAGTGTGCTTGGTTGCTAGGCAACCTGTGTACAGCTAGATGCCTCTGGCGATAGTTAAAGGGAGATCTGGAACCAGAGGTAAGATTTGGGAAAGGAGGAAGTTAAGCTTAATTGGCACATCCGCCATAAGGTACTTTCCTCTGTCTGGGGATGGACCTGGCTGGATGCTGCCAATGATGACAATTACAGGGAGGTTGAACTGTGGCTGTGCATAGCTGTCAGCACACAAGGTTATCTAAATATTCCTAGAAGTGGTTAGGTAAGGAGTTAGAGGTCTATAAAGTTAGTAAGGCTGTAAGAAAAGAAGGGTCCAAGCTAAACGGTATGAATCTATTACTTAAGGTCTACCAGATCTAGGCAGTATCTCTGTGTGGAATTTACCTTAATTCAGGAGACTTATTATGTGGTGGTCTGGACTGTTGTTTCTGTTAGTCCTTGAATGTGGCTAAGGGAGATCTCTGATTCCAGTGCTGAAAGGGGAGAAACGGGTGGGCTGGCGGGAGGAAGCCTTTCCTGAGGCTGTTCTCCAAATACCTGGAATGTATATGTCCAGAGAGAGATCAGTCCACACTGTTAGCAATTCTTAGGGGAAAATCAATTGGGAAAACCATGAAGGCACACATGATTTTCATCACAGAGGACAGCTGATATATAACAGGCCAAGTAACACCAAAAGCTCCTTGGAATTTGGCTTCCTCTGAAGGAATTCCTTGATCCCTTCAGGTAGTAACTTTGCCATAACCAGCCGCGTTCTTATGATATATTCCTGTGGCCCGTAGCAAGGAGGGGGAAGGGGAGAGTGTCATGGGACCTTCACCTGAGTATCCAGCCCAGTCTCCCAACAGGTGTATGCAATTCTTCCCTGATTACATGCGGCCTCAGAGACAGTCCAGAAGTACATAGACTGGGAAAGACTAGGGAGGAGGCTCCATCTATGTGGCCTTGAGGGGTCAGCCACATCCCAGTGTGGCCTCTTTAAAGCCACCTAGGCTTCTGTCTGTGACCTCCATTGCTCTGTCAATGAGCCTAATAAAGTCACTGGTTCCCGAGGGTGAACTTGGTGAAACTGTACCTTGGATTGTGATTGGGACCTTTGCAGGATGGGTAGATGTTATGTCTCTGGGGGAATGAATTTTAGCAACAGAATCTAATGGAAAAGAGAAAGAAGGGGGGTGGGACCATGGTTCAGTTGATAAAGTGCTTTGCCTAGTACCCATGAAGCCCAGGGTTATAGGCCCAGCACTGCTTAAACTGAGTGCTGCAAGTGAATGCACATTAACTCCCAAATCATGTCAATATTTAAGGATGCCATTTTTCTAATAATAATAGTAATAACAATGGTTTTCTAGCATACCACTTTTTAAGTCCTTTTGAGACAAGGACATCTTGCACTGTCAAGAAATATGCAACTTTTTTATTTATGTGCATAAGTGTTTTGCCTTCAGGCATGTATATGTATCACATGCATATCCAGTGCCAAAAGAGTCTGAAGAGCTTGTCAGATGCCCTGGGACTGGAGTGAGAGGTGATTGTGAGCCGCCATGTGGGTGCTGGTACTGAATCTGGGGTTTCTGTAAGAGCAGCCAGTTCGATGGTAAAGCATTGAACCACCGTCTCTCCAGCCCCTCAAGAAATAGGGTACTCCTCCATAGATATCACCTTGTTCAGGAAGTGATCACACTGGTTCTTGTATTATTCTGTGAGGTAAAGAACAAAAGGAATAGCTCTGATGGTGGAGGAATAGACAGAAAAGCAATGTAAAAGGACAAAAACGGCAAGGGAGATACAGATCACCAGTCAGGGACAGAAGCAAGGGCAAGAAGAGCTGAGGTACACTTCAAAATATCCTCACAGACATTTGAGTCATTGCCCCACCTGGCTAGAAGGTAGCCGAGATGAAGAAATAGGATTCCTGTAGTATTTGGGAACATGGTAGGGGCCACGCAGGTGGCTCATGGGGGAAGAACCATAGGGTCACTGGAGTTCAGGATAACTCCAGTTCTTATTGTGGAAGGAGCCGGGTCTGAGGGAGGGAAGGTGGGGCCTGGACCCCTGGGTCTGAGGAAAGAGGCTGGGGCCTGGAGTCCTGGGTATAAGGGAATAGGCTGGGCCTGGAGTCCTGGGTCTGAGGGAATAGGCTGGAGCCTGGAGTCCTGGGTCTGAGGGAGGAGGCTGGAGCCTGGAGTCCTGGATCTGAGGGAAGAGGCTGGGCCTGGAGTCCTGGGTCTGAGGAAGGAGGGCTGGGGCCTGGAGTCCTGGGTCTGAGGGAGGAGGGCTGGGGGCCTAGAGCTGTGGGTCTGAAGAAGGGCTAAGCCTGGACTCCTAAGTCCGAGGGAAGGGGTTTGGGGTCTGAATCCCTAGGACTGTGGAAAGGAGGGCTGGGTCCTAGACTCCTGGCTCTGAGGAGGGTGTTAGGGTCTGGACCCTTGGGTTAATGGTAAGAAGACTGAGACCAGGACCTTTGAGCCTAAGGGAGGAGGGTCTGGGAGCTGGACCCCTGGTTCTAAGAGATGAAGTCTGGGTCTGTACTCTTCAGTCCAGGGGAAGGAACTATCCAAACAGCCTAGCCTTTCATGTAGTAGACTCAGGGCAGGGCGCCGGCCTGGTGTGTATTGCAAGGCAGCACTCCCCATTTCCTGGGCTGCCTTGGGTAATCCTGGGTATAAAAGGATTGCATTTCCTGCTTAAAAAAGCACTAGAAGCATTTCTAGCCACAGACTGGAGTCATGAACCTTATGCCAGTGCTGACCCTCCTGGGAGTCACCACTCTGTTACCCTGTATGTGAGAAATCTCACCTGGAAGGGGACGTCTGTCCCAGGAAGTGGCACAAGGTAACCATCGGGTGATATGGAGCTGATCTTCTTATCCCAGGTATATCAGCTCTGAGCTGTCAAAGGGCCATAATCGAGGCTGTGCGGAATGCCTCGGAGCTGCCCCTTGAGTGGAAAACCGGTGAGAGAACCTGTGAGGTCGGTGAGAGTTGCCAAGACCTGGTGATGCTCCTGGAGAATGGTAAGAAACTCCCTGAAGAGACCCGCCCCACGGCCCTCGGGCATCCTGCATCCCTGGGAGGAGCTCTTCCTCAGCTGCAGGTGCGATCCATCCATGCCCGGTCCTTTCTTTCCTTACATCTCACCTTACCTTGGGATGTCCAAACTCACTCCAGGACCCTGCAATCCCAACCCCCACCTCCACCCGCCTTCCCTTCTCCACCCAGGACCCCGAATAAACTTGCTGATCATCAAGGACTGCGTTCAGGCTGAGGACCAGGAGCCCCGGGTTACCTGGCTCAGGACCGGTCCCGGGCTCTCTATCGTCTCCTACACCCGTGTATGTCACCATAGTGACTTCTGCAATGATGTGTCCAGCACTGAGGTTCTTGGGGACCTACCCACACCCACAGGTGCCGCAGGGAGGAAGAATGACAGGAGGGGAGGGATTTGCATAAGGAAGGAGAAGGGATTGGGGAGAGAAATCAGTATACAGGGTTATTCTTTTACAGACACTCACTAGACAACGGAAGTTTGGCCAGCTCACTGGCTCCATCCCAGCCTCGATTGTACCCCTGTCCTTTTTCCTCTTCCAATTCATTCATCCTCCTTGTCTTCCCACCCTCTACTCCCTCCATCCTGCCTCAGAACACTCCTGCCAGCATTTGACAACAGGGTTGGAGGCATGAGTCAGCCATATTTTCTAATGGTGAACCACCAGCCTTCAACCCTGGCGCTCGATCCTACCCCTGTTCTGCCGGCATAGCCCTTCTTTCCATGTGGCTGGGATTGATTCACTGGTGGCTCTCGTACATGGATTCTCTGTTTCCTTTCCCTAAGGGGCACTGGCCTCCAACTTTGTTGATTGGTTGGTTTGTTGTATGAGGATGTGGGTGTGCCAGTGTGTTCATGTGTGTGCAGGTGTGTGTGTACATGAGCACATGCATGTGGGGGATGGTGCATATGCATGTGGATATGTGTAGAAGCCAGAGTCCAACATGGGGTGCTGTTCCTCAGAAACCATCCAGTTAGTGTCTTTGAGACCAGGTCTCTCATTAGAACCTAGGCTAGCTCACAGATTAGGCTAGCCTAGCTGACCAGCAAGCCCCAGGGGTCCACTTGCTCCGCCTCTTCAGTTTCAGGGGCTTCAGTGGGTGAGTATACCTAGTTTTATACATGGGTGCTGGGAACTGAACAAAGGTCCTTGTGTTCCCAAGGCATGTCTCCTCAGCCCTGGCCTGGGACTTTATGCTACCTTTGTTGCTGCTGCATGGCATTTGGGGCTGTGGCATGCTGAAAGATTTGCTGAATAACTGTTTTTTTTTTTTTCTTTCACTGCTTAGCAGAAGTTGTGGGTGAAACCATTGGTTCATTCTAGGGCACCCCCCTCTCCTTGGTCTAATCTGTATCTACATCCTGTGTCAAAAGCCATCCCTTCCCGAGGCCCTGTGCCTCCTGACCTCAGCCCCAGGGTCTTTGCTGATCTCCCCACACCCTCTGTCCTTGACCCCCCAACTCGACCATAGCCTGAATTCCCTGCAGCTGGACCTGTATGAGGGGAACTGCAGGAGGAGATGTTGGGGAACACAGTGGGGAGGAGGCATCTGAACCAAGCCCAGGGCTTTCCCACCGCCCCTCACTGTGTCTGTCACCTGCAGTCCCAGGGTCCCTGCGCTGCCCACTCTGCCTTTCTAAAGATGGCTGTAAGAATGCACCCGAGCATGTCTGCCCCACAGGCAGCTCACACTGCTACAGTGGAGTCCTCAGGCTCAGGGGAGGTAAGCCTGGACACGGGGACCCTGGGAGAGTGGGCTAGGCATTGATATCCGAGTGTCTGGTGAACAAGGGTAAACTGGTTGGGCATTGAACCCACAAGAAAGTGGGACCTCCTGCAGCTGGGTTTGCCTGAGACTTGGATAGCAGCTCTGTGTCAGCTCTCTCTCCCCTCCCCCTCATTCCTATAGTCCTTTCCTTTTCCTAGAGAGCATCACCACCAATCTGAGGGTGCAGGGCTGCATGCCCCAGCCAGCCTGCAACCTGCTCAACGGCACCAAGGCAATCGGGCCCTTGGATATGAGTGAAAACTGTGGTCTCCAGTTGGGTGAGTAGGAAAACGAGGCCCAGCCTCAGGACAAGATGATCCTTGTAAAGTGTGGAACACCCTAAAGCCACCAACCAAGGCTGGCCATTCCCAAGAAATCCAGATGCTTCCCACTCACTTCAGGACTGAGAGGACTCTTCCAGAGGGTGGCTGGAGGGTTAGGGTGTGTGTGCCTGCAGGAGATGTCCAGCTGTGGGAGAGGAGAACTGGGGTGTGGTCACTGTCAGAACTAAAGGACAAAGACACAACAACAGACATCTCAGCTAATGTTGCACTAAATGTGAGTGTTCTGAGTGAAACAGAGGGGTGAGGAGAAAGATTGCTATGAGGGGAATTCCTCTGTGGTGTTTTGCAACGATCAGATCAGGACCATGTGCTTTAAGGGCCAGCCCTAAAGACCTCCTCTCAGGGGCCAAAGGATTCACCGCAATAAGCGTGGGAAAGACCAATGGCGAAGAAATAAATCTGCTCACCCTGTGACCCTTCTGTGCATGTCTCTTTATTCTTCTGCGCTTCTCCTAATTTTCTTGGCCTAATTGTCTATAATTTTCAGCTCTAGTTCTCTGTTCTCATCTCCCTGTTTCTTCTCCTCTAGCCTAATAATTCTCCTTTCACAGGAGGCTTGAAGCAATAGAAAAAGTTACAAGAGTTACCTCTCATTAGCCAAAAGCACATTCCTAGGGGAAGCAATAAGGGCAGCGCCATTTACCATGGCAACACAAGCTTCCAAGGTTACAGGAGTAAGACTGACCAGACCCCAAGGGAGGGGGGCACAGTGCCCAGTGACAAACTTTGAGACACAGTGTAGCTAGAGTTTTCCTGCCTGGCCCACAGTCAGGACAAATCTCTGTCACCCGCCAGTCCCACAGCCGCTCAGACCCGAACAAGTAAACACAGAGACTTATATTGCTTACAAACTGTATGGCCGTGGCAGGCTTCTTGCTAACTGTTCTTATAGCTTAAATTAATCCATTTCTTATTAATCTATACCATGCCACGTGGCTCGTGGCTTACCGGCATCTTCACATGCTGTTTGTCATTGTGGCAGCTGGCAGTGTCTCCCTCACTCAGCCTTCCACTTCCCAGCTTTATTCTCCTCCTTGCCCGCCTATACTTCCTGCCTGGCCACTGACCAATCAGTGATTTATTTATTGACCAATCGGCAACACACTTAACATACAGACCATCCCACAGCAACACAGGTCTATTGTCAGCAGACTTGGCCAGTGAAGACTTGGCACGCTTTTCTTAGGGTGTTTTGTGTTAGTAATCTTGGTAGGCACCTGTGACTCTGACCTTGTGCATAACTGTAAAGTTTTAAAATTAGGATCTCTATATAAAGGCCTTTAGTCTAGTTCGAACTTGCTCTGAAATAAAAATGAGCTAAGTGTGTGCAGTTTGTGTTAGTCTGAGGAGAGATTATTTTTGTTAGTCCGACCAAAAGGAACAAGGCAGCCTTTAAGTGTCTACAGTCTCGTGAGACAATGGATCTGGCCATGAAGCGTATCCTACTATATTTTCTACATATCAAAATTATACAACTAAATGAAAAGTCATCTTCCTGAACACCCACAGATATATGTGCCTATAAGATTGAGATGTAATCATGAGATTACATCTACACATTATATGAAAATGCATACACTGGGGAGCTACCATAGCTGTTGTTGCACAAGAAGTTACAGATGGAAGCAACAGTGTTCCAAGTCAGTGGCCTGCAAGCCTTGCCTGACTGGGTACCCCATCTGAGAATCATTCCTATGGTGGGTTGACATCTGAATTATCAATTGCTATAAACTGTAATTGCCTCGTGGCCTGCAATAGCTTGTGGTAATGGATCCTGACACTGGAGGAAGTGGCGAGTTCCTTCTTTGCATGGCCTTGGAAAACACTAGGTCTTCTGGAAGTTTTTATTTCAGTGAGTGTGTCTCGATGCACGTGTGGTGTGTTCATGTGTGAGCAGATGCACGTGTGTGTGCGTGTGTGTGCATGTGTGTTCATGTGCACATGTGTATGGAGGTCAGAGGACAACCTCAGACATCACCCTTAGGAACAACATCCACCTCCTTTGAGATGGAGGTCTCTCAAGGGTCTGGAGTTTGCCAATTAGACCAGACTTGGTCAGTGAGTCCCAAGAATCCATCTGCTTCTACTTCCCAAGAACTAGGATTACAGGTGTGTGCATACATCCAGCTTTTTTTTTTTTTTTTTGGTTTTTTCGAGACAGGGTTTCTCTGTGTAGCTTTGCGCCTTTCCTGGATCTCGCGCTGTAGCCCAGGCTGGCCTCGAACTCACAGAGATCCGCCTGCCTCTGCCTCCCGAGTGCTGGGATTAAAGGCGTGCGCCACCACCGCCCGGCAAACATCCAGCTTTTTTAAAAGATTTTTTAATGTGTGTGTTTATGTGTATAGGTTCCCAAAGAGGCAAGAAAAGGGTATCCCAGGAGCTGGTGTTAAAGGTGGTCACTATCTGTCTGATGTGGGTGCTGGGATCTGAACTCAGGTCCTCTGCAAGAGGAGTCACCTCTCGAGCCCCAACACACACCCAGCTTTTCCATGAATGTTTGGGATCCCAGACTCAGGCCTTCACGACTGCATAGTCAACACTATACCAACTGAAGCACATCTCCCCAGCTCGGTGTTGATCTTTTTATCCAAGTAGATGGAAAAGCCTGAAGACGCAGGCTGGATGTCACTGACACCAAGGATTCCTGCCTCGAGGTCCACAAGAATGGTGCATAAAGGGGGCCAACCTGTTAGTGTTTATGATTCATGTCCCACCAGGAAGGGGTTTCCCGGGGCATGGAGCTGGGGAAGCCCCTGAGGTGGATTTGATCTCCCTGTCCAGGGCCACAAGCTCTGGACTGCAACAGTGGGACCTTAGACACTGTAAGGAACATATCGGATCTGCACCTGAGCTGGACAACTGGCTGGAAAACCTGTGAGGCCGGCCAGGGATGCCAGGAAACATTGATGCTAATACAGAATGGTAAGAAGAGGCCCCGCCCTTCTCACTAGCCCCTCCCACTGCATGCCATTCCCACTGCATCCTGGGAATGACTCCAAGCACTGGAATCTAGGACTCCTTCATGATCAGATGAACCCCCTCCTGTTCCTGGTCCCCTCCTCACCAGCATCTAAACCACCTTCACTAGGACAATAAAGGTCTGTGCTCACAACAGCCTCCCTCTTTTTCCAGGACAAGAGTTTCACATGGTTCTCACTAAAGGATGTACTAGTGATTCAAACAGAGAGGCTCAAATCACCAGGCATAGGACAGGCCCCGGAATCTCCATAATCACCTACGTCCATGTGTGCCGCCACGAGGACTTCTGTAATGACCTGTCTACAACTAGAAATCTTTGGACCCCACCCTCTGGCACAGGTATCTGAGTAGGCAGATCCCCAGAGAAGGGAAGGGGTTGTCTGGAGGAAAGACAGGGCTGTGGGGTAGAAACAAGTACACAGGGGTTATTCACTTTATTGTAATTTTTTTATATATTTGGTGGTACTGGGGATGGAATCCAGGGCTTTGTACAAACTAGACAGGTGCTCTACCACTGAGCCACACCCCCAGCTCCTCACTGAGGGGTTCTAGGCAGGTGCTCTACCACTGAGCCACACCCCCAGCCCCTCACTGGGGGACTCTAGGCAGGGGCTCTACCACTGAGCCACACCCCCAGCCCCTCACTGGGGGATTCTAGGCAGGTGCTCTACCACTGAGCCACACCCCCAGCCCCTCACTGGGGGACTCTAGGCAGGGGCTCTACCACTGAGCCACACCCCCAGCCCCTCACTGGGGGAATCTAGGCAGGGGCTGTACCACTGAGCCATGCCCCAGCCCCTCACTGGGGGACTCTAGGCAGTGGCTCTACCACTGAGCCACACCCCCAACCCCTCACTGGGGTACTCTAGGCAGAGGCTCTACCACTGAGCCACACCCCAGCCCCTCACTGGGGGATTCTAGGCAGGGGTTCTACCACTGAGTGACATCCCAACCCTTGGGGCTGTTTTAGAATCAACTCTACTGGCTGGCAGTCTGTTAGCTCCCTCCACCTTGGCCTTGAATACTTGCATACCCTCCAGGTTCCTACTGTGTGTCTCTTCTGCAGTTCCTTCCTGTGTCCCCACACTGGCCTTGTCTATGTGTGCCTCATTAACTCCCCTATAGGTTTTCTGGTGCTGAACCACCAACCTCAGAGAGGCCTTGCTCCCACCTTGCTCCTTCTGCTTCCTCTAAGGCTGATTTGGAACCCTGATGTCACAGTTTGTGTATTGCGCACTTCCTCTTCCTGTTGAATATGAGCCTAGAACATTCCCTTCTTGTTGCCTGGCATCAAAAATAGCTTCAGATGGTGCTTTGCCTTTCTGTAGTCTGAAATAGTTTGACAACAGGGCAGTCTTCTTTCCCTTGGTTATTTGACAAACATTGGGAGCAACTGGGGTGGGGTGGGATAGAGAGATGGCTCAGCAGCTAAGAAACTTGTTGCTCTCAAAGGACCCAAGTTCAGTTCCCAGCACTCACCTTGGATGGCTCACAACAGCCTGTAACAAGTCTAGTTCCAAAGACCCTGAAGCTAGGGCACCTACACACACATATACAAACCCACCCCTCACCCTCCACCTATACACAAATACACAAGAATAAAAATAATAAAGATAAACCCTTTTTAAAAAAGAAGTTTGGCATAAAGTCAGTGGTCCCTTTGGGGTACCCCCTTCTTCCCTATCTAAGTTCATGTCTCTTGTCCAGCCTGGAAACTCCCTGCAGACCCCACCTAGGAAAACAGCACCTCTGGTGTTCCTGGCCAGAGGGCCTCCCCTGCACTCTCTACACCTTTGCTCCCCTACTAGGCCACAGCCCAAATTCCCTGCATCTGGCCTATCCAGAGAGACTGAGGCATCCTGGGGGAATGAGCTGAGGGTCCTCTGAACCAAATCCCGAAACCTCCCACTGTCCCTCACTGCATCTGCTGCTTCCAGTGCCAGGGACGCTGCGCTGCCCACACTGCCTTTCAACCCGTGGTTGTGAGAACGCCCCTGAGCAGGTCTGCCCCGCAGGCAGCTCACACTGCTACAGTGGAGTCCTCAGGCTCAGGGGAGGTAAGCCTGGACACGGGGACCCTGGGAGAGTGGGCTAGGCATTGATATCCGAGTGTCTGGAGAACAAGGGTAAACTGGGACAGGGCAAAAGACCCAGAGTGGAGCAGGGCTGGCCTCCTGGAGCTGGGCTTGCCTCTGAGGCTTGCATGGTCCTTATGTCTCTGTTTCTGTCTCTCCCCATCTCCTCCTTTCTTAGAGGGCATTGCCACCAGCCTGAAGGTACAGGGCTGCATGCCACAGGCAGGCTGCAACCTGTTTGATGGTACCAAGGCAATTGGACCGATAGATGTGCTTGAGAACTGCGGCCCCCAGTCAGGTGAGTTTCTCATAGGAAAAGGAGGCAAATCGCCTGCAGTGCAGCCCGGAACAAGATGGTCCTTGTGGGGTGTGGGACACTCAAAGCCATCCAGCATGGCTAGCCAGCCTGGAGTATTACTCACTCAGATGTGTGCAAGCAGCGGGTGGGGGAGATTCTCCAGCGAGGCTGTCCATGTAAAGGAGAGAGGGGGCGTGGCCCAGGAGAGAAAAGTGTTGAGGGAGCTTTGAATAATTCTGGAACAAGTGAGCTCACATGGCCTGTCCAGGCTCAGTGGGAAAGTGCCTGGTGCACAGCCACCTGCTTGGTTGTCCCCATTCTGCACACCCAGACCTGGTGTTATGCTGGGTCTCGCGGTTCATTTTGACCCGCCTCCAGTCTCTCCATCACCTTCTCCCATCCTCGTCTATGATACCCAGCAGCCTCGCTCCATTGCAAAGAAAATCAGAGAGAGAATCAAGGGGGTTGGGGTATGGCAGAGAATGCAAGAGTCAAGTGGGGGCTCCAGGAGTGTCCCTACTAGTGCATTCACACACAGCCACAGTGGCATTCACTTGGCAGATGGGGGTGGCGGTGGAGCTTCTCAGAAGGGTCACAAGGGAAAGAGAAGCTATAGTAGAGATGGAAAATAGATTTAGAGTCTTATCTTCTCTAAGCGTGTGGTCTTGTCTGTCCCTGCCTCAGTCTCCTAACAGGCCTGTGTCATCTTAACCCTCAGAGCTTCAAGGAGAGAGTGTAGAGGGACCTGGGGAGATGGCCCAGCAGAGAAAGTACTTGCCACACGGCATGAAGTCCAGAGTTTGAAACCCCAGCACCATGTAAAACTGAGCATAGCAGCACATATCCAAAACCCTAGACCTGAGGTTGGGAGGGGGAGGGGAAAAACAGATGAATTCCCCGAGTCCCCTGGCTGGCCAATCAGTGAGGTCCAGGTTCAGTGAGAGTCAGAGTGGGAGATACCCATCATCAAGCTCTGCCCTCCACATGCTCGTGACACACCAAGCACACACACACATGCATGTTCATAACCAAGTACACACACACACACACACACGCTCACACACACACATGCTCACACACACACACACGCTCACACATCCATACACACACATGCATGCACACAGAAATAAAACCTTTAGACATTTGAGTGGGTTCCTCAAATGTTCCGTTTGCATTTTATTTGTTTTCTTTTTGTACATTTACTTATTTATGTGCGTGTGTTCGTGTGCACACACAGGGCCATGCTGTGCAAGTGGAGGTAAGAGGAAAACTCCATTTTACAGGACTCTCAGGAGACATAACAACGTAGCTTTTGCGTTTTCTCCAGGATTCTCGGCAGACAGGAGTGGTCCTTTCCACAACACTGCACTCTGAAGACGCTGGAGAAATACTTCCATCTCGAGAAGTAAAATTGCAGTTAGAACTATTTTCTTGTCCAGCATCTAGACCCTTTTCTGGCAAGGCAATAGAGAGTCATTGTAGGGAAAGAAGGCCCCGTAGGAACCCTGGCTCACCTGGGAAGCACGGTCTGCTCTGACCCTGTCTCCATGTCCTCATCTGCCTGTGTCTCTCTAACTTTAGGCCTTCAAGAGGGAACTGAGTTCAACCAACATTAATCTTCATGTTGGCTGGTTTTCCCACAGCTAGATCCGGGGACTTGAGGGCATGAGCTGGATGTCACGGGCACCAAGACTTCCTGCCTTGAACAGCATGAGAGAAGATTCTGGAAGGGTCCACTTGTTGCTGCCTGTGAATGAAGTCCCACCAAGCAGGATCAGTTCACTACTGAGAGGGATTTGCTCTCTCTCTCTCTCTCCTCTTTCTAGCTGCAGAGGCTCTGAAATGCCAGCATGGGACATTGGAGATCACAAGGGATGTATCGCAGCTGCCGCTCCAATGGACAGCTGGCCAGACAACTTGTGGTATTGGTGAAGGCTGCCAAGACACGCTGCTGATGATAGAGAATGGTGAGAAGGGCCCTCTGGGTACAGACACGCCCCATTTCCTGGCCCTGCCCCCTTAGCTCTGTTGGGCAACTGCCCTGACCTCTGCCTCAACCTGCCCATTTATATCCGTCCAGGGGAGAAGGTGAATTTGGTTCTCACCAAGGGCTGCACGACTGCTGAGGACCAAGAGGCCAAAGTCACAGAGCACAGGACCGGCCCGGGGCTGTCTGTCACCTCCTACACCCGAGTGTGCCGCCTAGGACACCTCTGCAATGGCCTGTCTACCACAGCCCCTCTTTGGGCTCCACCCCCTGTGACAAGTGAGGGCACCAGGGGGAAGCTGGGTGCTGGGGAGAGAGGCAGGGTGCCAGCTGCTGAAGTGCGTTTTGAGGGAAGACGTTCATTTACAGACTCTCCCTTGCTGGACAGCACCCAGCCAGCTCACTTCCTCCACTTGGCCTGCTCTTGCTTTCTCCACAGCCCACAGTTCCCAGTCCCTCCTCTTCAGGGCCCTTCCCTTCCCTCTCCCACCTTCTGCATTACCTCATCTGCACTTCCCTGAGACCCACAACTCCAAACTCCCCTGGCTGACCTCTTCTAGCAACCCTGAACGAAGTGGATTTCCCTTTTTTTTTTTTTTTTTTTTAAAGATCTTATTTTTAGGTGTGTGTGTGTGTGTGTGTGTGTGTGTGTGTGTGTGTGTGTGTGTCCGTCCAGAAGAGGACATTGGGTCCCCTGGAGATGGAGTTATAGGTTGTTTTTAGCCTCCCAACATGGGTGCTAGGAGCCACACTTGAGTCCTCTGCAAGGGTGTTATCCTTTTTTTTTTTTTTAATTTATTTTACATCCTGGCCAAAGTTTCCCCTCCCTCATCTACTCCCAGCCCCTCTCCCCCACCCCACATTCCACTCCTCCTCCATTTCTGCTCAGGAAAGGCAGGCCTCCCATGGACATCAACGCAGCATGCCACATCAAATGGTGGTGAGACTAAGCACCTCCCCATGTATTAAGTATGAAGAGTAGGGTCCCAAAAGCCAGCAACAGAGTCAGAGACAGGCCCTGCTGGCACTGGTGTTATCCATTCTTAACTGCTGAGCTGTCTCTCCAGCCCCAGATCGTTTTGTATTCTCTTTTCTTTTATTTAAATTATGAGTGGGGGTTGCCCACGTGCACCAGTGAGTCTGTGGAGTACAACCCACGTGAATCTGTTCTGCCCTCCAACATGTGGGTCCCAGGGATTGAAGTCAGGCTGTCTGGCTTGGTGGCAGGTTCTTCTCCTGCTGAGCCATCTCACTGACCCCCTGGGTGGGTTTCCTGCCAAACTCCCAGCCTCACACTACAGTCCTGAGCAGCTCTGCTTTTCTTGTGTATTTGCCCTCTTTCCATATGGCTGACTTTGGTTCACTGGTATCTCATTTGGGACTTTCCAATTTCTTCTTCCTACTGGACAATGGGTTGGGGCTTTCCACAATCCTTGTCAGGTGATAAACTGGTAGGCTTCATGTTTCTGTGTTCTGGAATATTTTGTTATGAGGGGGTTTTTCTTAACTATTTAGTAAAAGTTGTGAGTAAAGCCACTGGCTGCTTCTGTGCCCCTCCCCCTTACTCAGTGAAGTCTGTGGCTAGCCCCAAAGGTCCCCACATGCTGCTCTTCCTACACCCAGTCCCAGGGTCTCTGCAGGCTTCCCCTGTCCTCCTAATCACAGCCCCAGTTCCTGTAGTCAGGCCTGCATGAGAGGAGCCCAGGAGGGCTTGCTAGGGAAAGTGAGGCATGTTGGGGAACTAAGAAGGGATATCTGATCCAAACCCAGAGCTTCCCACTGACCCTCACTGCGTCCCTTGCCTCCCAGTCCCAGGAACCACACGCTGCCCACTCTGCTTTTCAACCCATGGCTGTGAGAATCCACCCAAGCAGGTCTGCCCTGCAGGCAGCACACACTGCTACAGTGGAGTCCTCAGCCTCAGGGGAGGTAAGCCTGGATAGAGGACCCTGCGCGACTGAACATGGTGGGCTGGGAGTGGGGATCTGGGTGTCTGGGGAGGAAAGGTAAACTGAGTGAAGGAAAGAGCCTCAAGGAGTGTGAAACCAACCTCCCAGAGCTGGGCTTGCCTCCGAGGCTCGCATGACCTACGTGTGTGAGGTCTCTCTCTCCCCTCTCCTCCTATCCTAGGGGAGATCATCTCCAATCTGAGGGTGCAGGGCTGCATGTCCCAGCCAGGCTGCAATCTGTTCAATGGCACCCAGACAATTGGACCCATGTATGTACGTGAGGACTGCAGTCCTCAGAAAGGTGAGAAGGATATGGGAAAAAGTAAGCCACACCTTACACTGCGACCTCAAGGCATGATGATCCTTATGGGGTGTGGGACACCAAAAGTTATCAACTGAGACAGCCACCCCAACATTTAAATGAGCATCATCCTTTCAGCCATGCACACAGAAAGTAATTCTCCACGGTTAGAGGAGGTTGGGAGGCAGAGGGCTGGAGAGAGGTGTCCTGTTAAGAGAGGGAGGGAGTGTGGCCCAAGGCACGGAGACAATGAGCCCATTGGGGAGAGCTTTAAATAAGTTTGAGAAAACTGAACTGGGGTGACCCGTCCATGTGTGAGGTGAGATGTAAGGAGGACAGTTGGGGTGCACAGTGGTCACCTTGCTACTGTCAGCATCCTGGCACCTGGCCGGGTTCATTTGGAACACAAGTGTTTATTTCTGATTACATTTCCATGTACCCTGACCTCTGGTCACCCCATATATCCCACTTCACTTAGATGACCCCCCATTCTCTGCACCTCCTTTCATCCCAATTCATGAGGGTGTAGAACTCCAGTGGCCTTGCTCCATGGGAAAGAAAATCTTAAGAATGGGTGGGTATAGTTGGAATTTTCTTTGGGCCTCCACCCAGCTCCCAAATAAAGACATAGTGACTTACTATTAATTATGGATGCTCAGCCTTAGCTTAGGCTTGTCCCACTAGCTCTTTTAACTTAAACTATTTCTATTCATCTATGTTTTGCCTCAGGGCTTTTTACCTTTCTTTTTTCTGTATGTGCTACTTTCCCGCTTCCTCCCTGTCTGTCTGGTCCCTGGTGTCTCTTTTCTTTCTCCCCACCTTTCCCCGACCCCAGCCTAAATTCCTCCTCCTACTTATTCTCCCTGCCTGGAAGTCCCACCTATACCTCCTCCCTTACTATTCAGCTTTTTATTAGATCAGTCAGATGCCTTAGGCAGGCAAGGTAAGATAGCAACACATCTTTACATAGTTAAACAGAGATTCCACAACATAAACAAATGCAGCACACCTTCACCTAATTAAACAAATATTCCTCAGCATGAACAAATGCAAACATCTTTACATAGTTAAATAAATATTTCACAGCATAAACTAATGCAGCACATCTAAGGGGCCTCCTGGGCTGTGCGGGGGAGATACCTCCGCTTGGTCATTCTGAGCTGAGGCAGTACTGAATATGGGACCCACAACTGGCAGAGATTGAGGATGGTGTCAAAAAGAGCTCTGTCAAGGAGGTGACTTGTCTTAGCTTTCCTGGTAGAAACGGCGTGTCAGTGACTGCGGAGAGTGTAGACGGATTTTTCTTTTGGGGTCACCAACTCACAGAAAATGGCATGGAGACTTATTATTAATTATGAAAGCTCGGCCTTAGGTTAGGCTTGTTTCTAACTAGCTCTTATAACTTAAATTTACCCATAACTTTTAATCTATATTCTTCCGCACACTTGTTACCTCATCTCTCCATTGTGCCCATCCTGGTTGTCTGTAGCTGGAGTTTTCTCCAGTCCTGCCTGGCCCATGATCAGGACAAATCTCTCTCACCCGCCAGTCCCGCAGCTGCTCAGACCCAACTGAGTAAACACACAGAGAGTTATATTGCTTACAAACTGTATGGCCATGGCAGGCTTCTTGTTATCTAGTTCTTTTATCTTAAATTAACTCATATCTATTAGTCTATAAGTTGCCACATGACTCGTGGCTTACCGGTACTTGCATCTCACTTGTCATGGCGGCGGCTGGCAGCGTCTCTCTGACTCAGCTTTCCACTTCCCAGCATTCTCCTCTTTCCTTGTCCCACCTATACTTTCTGCCTGGCTACTGGCCAATCAGTGTTTTATTTATCAACCAATCAGAACAACACATTTAACATCCCACAGCAGTTGTCCCCCATCTGGATGGGGACTCTACCTCTCTTCTTCCGAGAGTCCTCTCTGTCCAGGAGTCCCACCTATACCTCCTGCCTAGGTATTGGCCATTTAACTTTTTATTAAACCAATCACAGTGCACACATCTGCACACAATGTAAGGGAATTCCACACCAGGAGAGGGCTCTGTGAGTAAGAGTATTTGCTGTGTGAGCATGAGGACATGAGTTCAAGTCCATAGCATTCCCCTACAAAGGTGGGCATGGCCATACACACACACACACACACACACACACACACACACACACACGTGCACATGTGCACACACACGTGCACACACACACAGAGCTGTAACCCAGTGCTGTGGGAGGCAGAGACAGGAGACTCCTGCTGATTGCTATCTCCAGGTCAATGACAGACACTATCTCAAGGGAGTGAATAAGATGAAAAACAATAGAAAAGGACATTTCACATTCTCCTCTGGCCTTTGCGTGCACACACACACACACACACACACACACACACACACACACACACACAGAGAGAGAGAGAGAGAGAGAGAGAGAGAGAGAGAGAGAGAGCAAAATCCCATACGCATAAGAGTAACTTTTTTAAAAAGAGAAAACACATTCCACATACACTATGTATACCACACAATGCACACAACAGCCTCACAGATGCACCACACTGTGCTTCATAATCCTGTCTCATGCATTTTGGATCCTGTGTTCCTCGTATACATGGAAACCCCAGAAACCTCATGTGCCCGCACCCCCATAGAACCCATAGTGCACTATACACACAGCTCATGCTACAGGCCACACACAAACTAAATACTGACAATACAGAACACCCACCTCACCCAACACACATACAAAGCTACACCACAAATCACACACCTGCACACACCACATGTGCACCCCTCACATCCCAAATAGCATACAGAGAAACCCCATGCAAGCTGCATAAAACACAGCCATTATCCTGCAGGTAGTGAGCTCTTGGCATTGGAACCAAGCCTTGGAGGAGCATCGCCATCCCAGGCTGGGTTCAGCCGGGCAGTTTAGCAAACATTTACTGGGGATCAACAAAAGCCAGTGGCAGATGCTAGAAGCACAGGATGTGTCGAGTAGGGAGGTCTGGGGGAACAGAACAGCTCGTGCAAAGGTTCCGGAGTGAGAGAGCGTTAGGTGTGAGCTGTGTGATTGCCCACGGCAGACCGTTTTGAAGATGAACCAAAGAGTGAGATCATGGAAGCCACTGCCCAGCTGTTAAGAACCTCTAGTCTACATTGGAGAGAAGAGGAGACCCAAACACCATTTGAATGTCAAAACTGCAGTTCCCTGAGCCTCTTAGACGAGGCTGAGGAGGGTGGAGGGAATGCTCTGTGACACTGGGGACAGGAGCCTGTGAAGTACCTAGAGGTGGCCCATGTGCCTGTCATATTCCATGTCTGTACTGACACACCATTGGTCACCAGAGCCCTGCTTGGTGCGTAGGGAGGCAGTGCTTGATTAACAGTGACGCTCTACTGCCTCTGCCTTCCTCCCCTTGCTGTGCCCAGAGCACATCCTCTGTCTTCCATTAGTCCCTGACACTGTCATCCCCCTAGCCTTAAGGGCTGTTTCTGTGGCATAGTGACCAGGCAGAGAGGAGGAGGATGCCACCATGAAGAAGTAGGAAGGATAGGTCACATGGGGGCCCGGGGGCCATTTTAAGACAACAGATTTTATTCTGGGAGAGATGGGGACCTAACAGAAGTTTCTGCCTTCCCAGGGCTTCTCGGGGTTTCTCAGAGGCCTGACATGATTGCCTTATCCTTTAAGAGGATTCCAGTTATTGGTGGTAAATAGGTAGAGGAGAAGTGAAGGGGGGCTCAGAGAGACCCATGACAGTCAGGCAGCAGCTGGAATCTTGCAGCTGGATCTTGCAGCACTTTCGAGGTGGTGACAGCCCTAGGGTTCTGCAATGCTGTGCAGCCTAAGCCACAGGGTTTCCTGGAGAAGGCAGCATGGGCTGGAGAGAAAACGTGGATGAGAATCCGGTGGCTATGCTCCTTGTGCTACAGGGGAAAGAGGCCACCTTTGAGCAAATGGGGAGGGTGTGGAGGGGTGGAGCAGGGAGAGTGCACATCTGGTTTGCAGGAGCACAGCAGCTGGAGCTGCACATCTGTCACCTGGGAAGTGAGGAAATGGCCAGCACCCCCTGTGAGCCAGCAAGAAGGCTGGGGTGCTAGTGGACACAGTCCCAGCTCTAAGAATTTCTTCATCACAGGGTACTCGACATTATGTGATGATCATGTCAGGTCCTTAGGGAAGGCCAACTTCAAGGTCCTCAAACTAGACTGCTGTGTTCAACCCTGACCCTAAGGGGACAGAGAGCCTGAATTCTGAGTCCAGCTCTGCCACCTAATGCCTGGTGACATTGGGCAAAGTCCTCAGCACTTACTGCTCTGCTTCCCTGCCTTGAGATGCTGCCACTTGCTGTGGGTTGTGGTGGGGAAATGAGACAGTCCAGTGGGCAGTGAGGATAGGGCTGCTCTGCGATCCCAGCGCTCCAGAGGCAGAGGCTAGAGGGCTGCCAGCTGGAGGCCAGCCTGGACCACACAGCAGAGCTGACACACACACACACACACACACACACACACACACACACACACACACACACGCGCGCGCGCGCGCACACACACACACACACACACGCACACGCACACACACACACACGCACACGCACGGGGACACAGTGGGCTCATCTGTGGAGAGCCACTTCTGTACCCTAGCACCCAGCAGACCCAGTGCTCACTAGAGGTGGATCCAGAGGTTTGTTTGTAATCTAGGGCTTCTCAGTCCAAAGAAATGTCTAAGGATGGGGAGATGGCCCAGTCAGTAGGTGTTTGTTATGCAAACATGAAAATCTGAGTCCAATTCCTAGAATCCATGTTGAGGGAGGGAGGGAGGGGAGGAGAGAGAGAAAGAGAGAGAGAGAGAGAGAGATGGTGGAACATGCTTGTAATCCCAGGCCTGGCAAGGCAGTGATGGACAGATCCCCAGGACTTGCTGGCCAGCCCTCCTCGCCTACTTTGCCTTACTTCAAGAGTTTCAGATCATTGAGAGATCCTGTTTCCAAAAACAGAGTTGCTGAGAGCGCTAAGCAGGTTAAAGCACTCCCTGGGTCTCATGTGGCAGGAGAGAACTAACTCCCAAAGTTGTGGCACACATACAGAAACACATATATGCACACACACACACACACACACACACACACACACACACACACTTCAATGTAATAAAAGTTATATAAGTAAAAAAGGAGAAGGTAGGCTAGGGAGATAACAAAATAAAAGTACATGCTGCAGAGAAGCAAGATGTGTAACTCCTCCAAGATGGCAGCTGGGGCTTCCTCTGGCTTCTACGTACACGCACACACACACACACACACACACGCACACGCACACGCACACGCACACGCACACGCACACGCACGCACACACACACGTACACCCACACACATGAACAGGCATACACACATGTGTACACACACAAAGACACACAGAGAGAAAGAGAAGGCTCCAGGCCACCTTGCTCATTATTCTAAGGAGGACATGAAGCAGATGGGGAGTAGAGAACGGCTGAAGGGGTGCCATCTGCGGAGGAGCAAGCCTTCCTCAGGAGGCTCTGAGGAGAGCAGGTGTTCAGGGAGGGACAGGGTGAACAGAGCTGCAGACTTGGAAGCCTTGATTCTGAGTCCCTTCTTAATGCAGACAGGGAGGTCACAGCCAGAGCACTGGGAGTATGACTCGGAGTGTGATGGCCTCCCTTAGCCCCAACACTGCAGGGACAGACGTGGTGCCTCCCTGACTCTCGCAAGCCCCCTTTTTGCCTCTCCACAGGTACTCTGACCTGTTACAAGGGGATCATGAGGAAATCTGGCAGTGGCTTTGCTGAGACACCTGTCGCATGGTCTGCACTGTCGACCCTGGTGTGTGACCCTGAGGAGTTATGTCAGGAGACTCTCCTGCTGGTGGACGTAGGTGTGTGTGATGAGATGGACGGCCTCACGCCCGTACAGCCAGCACAACCCTGCCCTGGATTGTGTGCCCTGCAGTTCCTGCCCAGCTCCTCTCTCTGTGCCTTGTCTTGCTGGGCAGTGGGGTAAGGTAGCCCCAAGCCCAGAAATGAGAATGGTGCTGTAAAAACCCAAGGGACCCTGATGACCTCCATCATTTGAAGGAGGATTATTGGGCTGGGTGTGGTTCATTTGGTACAGTGCCTGCTTAGCATGCATAAAGCCCTGAGTTTGATTCCCGGTACCAGGTAAACTGGGCTTGCCTGTAATCCCAGGGCTGGGAGGGAAGAGACAGTTAAATTGAAATTCAATGCCATCCACACCTGTACAGTTAATTCAAGACCTGGCTGGGCTATCTGAGACTCTCAGAGAGAGAACAAGAGAGTGAGGTAAAGAGCTAGAGAAACAGAGAGAGGAGGGGAGGGAGGGATGGTGGAGGGGGGAGGGGAGAAGAGGGACGGGGGTGGGGGCGTGGTGGGGAGTCTAACACCTGTTTGGGGATCAGCCTTTTGCAGCTTTACAGGGAAGTGGGAAAGGAGAGAAGCAGACCACAGGGAGTCAGCTGTGGGAGTGAAGGGCAGAGTGTGCAGACAAATCCAGCAGGGTAGAGGAGATGGTGAGCAGAGTGAGGCTGCAGCCTGTAGGAGGGGCTCAGGGCAGACTGTGGAGACTGTTCAACAGGATGTGCAGGGGCAGGGCAGAAGGAGCCAGGCTTGTGCTGCAGGCTTTGGCTGACACAGGACATGCTGTGTCCCACTGTCCCTGGGCGTTGTGCTCTCCCTGTGACTGGGAACATCAGGGGACCCAAGAAGTGGCCCCCAGGCCTGGCCATCCTCCCCATCCAAGCCTGGCTTTCATTCTCTTATACCAACAGGACCAAAAACACTCCTAATAGGGAGCAAAGGCTGCATCAGGCCTGGGGCAGAGGACAGTGCCGGTGTCTCCATACACTCCCGGCCCCCTGGAATACTGGTGGCTTCCTATTCACGCTTCTGTTCCTCCAACCTGTGCAACGAAGCCAGCAGCAGCAGCGTCCTGCTGAGCCCCCTCCCTCGTCCAAGTATGGGATCCGGGGACATGGAAGGACCCAGCCACTTGGGAGTTAAGCTGGTGGCTGTAGCTGAGAGCGTGCAGTGCATCCCAGCCCTTCTCTCTGTCCTCAGCTGTCCTTCCCCCTGGAGACCTGCAGTGTCCAGTGTGTGTGGAGTTATTTGGATCCTGCTTCAATGACACCAACTTTGTGGCCTGCCCTCAGGGTACCACTCGCTGTTATAATGGTGACATTGTGCTCCAGGGAGGTGAGTGTTGAAGGCTAGGCTGCAGGATTGGAAGAGGCAGGGCCAGGGCTCCAGGGTTGAGGATGGAGGGTTGTTCCCTAACTCCTAGGTCTGAGGGAGAAGAGATGAGGCTACCTCAGATGGAAGAGGGATGGGCCGGGACCACTGGGTCTAAGAAAGGAGGTTTGTGGCCAAGACTCATCTGAAGGAAGACTTGAGGCCTGGAATCCGTGATCTGAGGGAGGATTACAGGAGTCTGGACTCATTAGGATGAGGGAAGAGGGCTGGGACCCAAAACCTGAGGTCTGAGGGAGGAGGGCTGGGTCTGGACCCTGGGTCTGAGGGAGGAGGGCTGGGCCTGGTTCCCTGGGTCTGAGGGAGGAGGGCTGGCCTGGATCCCTGGGTCTGAGGGAGGAGGGCTGGCCTGGATCCCTGGGTCTGAGTGAGGAGGGCTGGGCCTGGACCCCTGGGTCTGAGGGAGGAGGGCTGCTGGGCATGGACCCCTGGGTCTGAGGGAGGAGGGCTGGGTCTGGACTCTGGGTCTGAGGGAGGAGGGCTGGGCCTGAACCCCTGGGTCTGAGGGAGGAGGCTGGGCCTGGATCCCTGGGTCTGAGTGAGGAGGGCTGGGCCTGAACCCCTGGGTCTGAGGGAGGAGGGCTGGGCCTGAACCCCTGGGTCTGAGGGAGGAGGGCTGGGCCTGGACCCCTGGGTCTGAGGGAGGAGAGCTGGGGTCTGGACCCCTGGGTCTGAGGGAGGAGGGCTGGGTCTGGATCCCTGGGTCTGAGGGAGGAGGACTGGGCCTGGATCCCTGGGTCTGATGGAGGAGGGCTGGGCCTGGACCCCTGGGTCTGAAGGAGGAGGGCTGGGTCTGGACTCATGAGGCTGAGGGAGGAGGGCTGGGCCTGGATTCATGAGGCTGAGGGTTGGGCCTTTAGCCTGTCAGGGAGTAGAGCTGGGCCCTGGAGTCCTGGATGGAGGAAGGAAGGCGGGGTTAGATTCATGGTCTGGGGAAAAAGGATGGGGCTGGGATTCCTGGGTCTGAGTTTCCCAGCACTGCTGGATTGTATAACCTGTAAGTGCCCTTCACCCTCCAGGTGGCCTGTCTTCCACAATGAGCATTCAGGGATGCATGTCCTCACCTGGTAAAACTTTACTGGGGGACTCCAAAACAATTGGGATCTTCTCTGCAAAGGAACTCTCTGAGGACAAAAATGATGAAAAGCCTCTGGATGGAGGTGCCTCAGCCCCTTCCCTCGCCTGGGTGTTAGGGCTGGGGCTCTCCTTAGCCTTTTGTCTGGAGGGCTTGGTCCTCTCTGATGAACCCATTTTCCTGTGGTTCCTAATCCCTATTGGCCACCCATACCCATCCCTCCTCTGACATCATAACCTATGACCTTACACTTGGAAGTGTCAGCCTGTGCCGTCCTGGTGCCATCAACCCTCACCACACATCTCTGCCTCCTGATATTTCTACATGGGAGGCGCTGAATTCACCCTTGTTGGTGGCCATCCACGTATCGGCCACACCTGTGGAATAATAAAGTTGCTGTTGTTTCTCCGAATACTGGGTTTCTCTATGTGAGGAAACAATAGCACTCAGAGGATCCGTTGAGAGACCCCCCCCCCCCATGTCTTCTTCCTAACCTGTGGCAGCACAGAGTCCTCAGGATGCTGGGGCCTAAAGCGCCGGGCCTCACTGTGACCTGGGAAGGGCAGGACCACAGCCAAGGGCTGGCCTCTCACCTGAGGAGCCAGGCAAGAGGCTGTGGGTGGCATGAAGGGCGGGTAATTGACTTGGAGGCTTGATACAGTTTCTTAGGCCATTACACCAGGTGAGTGTTGCCATCGTAGCCTTGAAAGGGGGAGGATCAGAGGACACACACACACACACCATACATACACACTACATCCACACAACGTATACACACACACACACAGAGTCAGTCAGACAAAGACAGGCATTATAGACATTTTCATTCCAGGCTGAAATTCGCATTGCCCAACGGTGGTTCTGTAAGAGAGTGGAGAAGTCCATATTCCAGTTTCATGGTCCTCTTGGGACCCTGCATGGGCTGAATAAGGCAGTTCCCACAGAACTGACGTCTACGCCCCTGGGAAGTGGAAAGAAGAATGAATCTAGGGACACAGAAGCAGCCAGGCCAGTCCACAGGGCCCCTCAGTCACTGCCTTGACAAAAGGCAGCTTAGGGAGGGAAGGTTCCTAATGCCTCCTGGTTTGCTGGGATGTAGGTCGATCGCTGCAGGGAAGGCACGGTGGCAGAGGAAAGCATGCAGCTAGCACTCCTCACATGTGGAAGGACCAGGGGAAGAGACTGCAGGCATGCCCCCACACGCAACTTTCACACGGGTTTTGGAGGTCCATCTTGGGTCCTCAATGTGCTCTACTTGCAAGTCCTAGACAGGCTGGGGCAGCAGCCAAGCCCATCACCTTAATTCACCTTGACAGCACTTAACCTGGCTCTCCAAAAGCGGTCCACACAGACACTGGCTCTTAGGACCACAGGTGACGGGAGATGGGGTTCACAGAAGGAGACCCCCACCATCTCCATCCCAACACCAGCACTTCTGCATCCTTCTTGTTGGCCCATGCTGGCTTTCTAGAAGTGCCCAAAGAAACAAGGTTGCCATGGTGATGGGATACCACAGCCCCTGGAGCTCTCAGTATGTTTCTGCTGGCTTTTGCCACCCATCAAACTCGATTCTAGAGCCCACTTCTTCAGCTGCTTCTTTCCCCCACATTATCAAACATCCATCTGTGCTCACCTATTCAAGTGTCCACTCCCTGCTACACCCTTTTGGAGGGCCCGCCATGTGTGCAATTCTACTTACAAAGACAAAGGGATGGATTGAAAATTGTTATGGTCCAGTCTTAATGATTTCCTTCCCAGGGGCCCAGAAGAGAAGCTACAAACAGCGGGAATAATCTGCAAGAAATAAATCTAAGTACACCGAACTCTTTCGTCCGTCTTCTTTATTTCTCTGGGATAAAATTCTGTCTACACAGCTTCAGTTCTGTTCTCGTGCCTAGCTCCTTCCTTGCCTGATCCCTCTCTACATTTATCTGCTGTCCCCTCTAAGTTCTACCTTGATTCTCTCATCTTCGTTCTGCCCCATCTTGGTCTTTCTCATCTCGTTCTTCCCCATCCGGCTCTTCCTCATCTTCCATCTCATTCTTCTAGTTCTCCAGTCAAAATCCTCCCTCAGTCTCTGAGGTTTACAGCTATATACCCCTGCAATAGCAGTGCTCCAGCTAAAGCAATCTCACCAGGCTTGATTTCTTACAGGGTCATAAAGGCAGGCAGTGACCATCAGGCTTTCTTTTACAACCCAAAAGGGGAGTGGTAGAGGAAGTCAACTAAGAGTTAAGATCAGTTAGTATATCAAAAAAAAAAAAAAAAAAAAAGGGAATTTATGTGCTCAAACTACATTCTTAGAGGTGGTTAGGTAAATGTTAGGAGTCGATAATGTTAGTATAAATACCACTAAAGCTGTATAAGAAAGGAGGGCCTGAGCTTAACTGACCTTAATTCAGGAGATCATTTGGCCTTGGATGCTTGACAGGTATTTCAGCTAAAATACACCGTTAGGAGTTCTTGGAAGCATATATAGCTACAAGAAAGTCATTGTACATACAAAAGCCAAAATATCACCAAGCCTTCTTAGGCCATGGCTTGACCTTCAGAAAAGTCCTTGACCTTTCCAAGTAGTAGCTTCTGGGATGGTAGCTGGATCCCATTACGTCTTCCTGCGCTTGCGACAGGGAAGTCCCCCCCTGTGCTTTGGGACATTTCTCTCTGGCTAGTCTCTAAGTCCGCGTGGGGACACCCTGGATCGAAATTCTTGTTACTACAGCACTCACCCGTCCAGTTCCCTCATGGCTCATTTCAGTGCCTTCCTGAATTCCACAGCTTCTCCACAGGCTCCTGGGTCTGTGACCCTTTCCTGGCCTCCTTCCCCTCAGAGCTACCTGTCTGTCTCTTCTCAAGCCCTCTTGGGCCTTCATCTTGCCAGTTGCCTTGCCTCCCTAGGAGCTACCTGCTAAGACGCTCAGTTTCTCTATGTCCTCATGCCTTCTGTGACATTAGGACCCTCCCTCAGGTGCAGTTCCTGCTAGTTCCTCCTTGTCCCTTAGGGCACACTGTTCTCTTTTTCTTAGCTGCCTAACCCTCCCCACGGTAGTGTTCTTGTCTCGACCCTTCTTCCCCTTTTCTCCTCTGACTCAATTCCTTTCTCAGACTCAGAGATTTTCTTACAAAGTCTTGCTCGCTGTCTTACTGAAAACAGCTTGGCCTCAGTAGAGCTCAATGGCCAAAGATAGCACACTCAAGTTCCAAATTCTCATAGATTGTAACAGCTTCTGCCAGCACAAGCCAATGATCCCAAAGTCTCTTATCTCTAAGGTTCTACAACTTTCCACTCAAATCTTTTATCTCTATGATTTCTCTGTGTTCTGCTCTCAAGAAATCTGTAAAGACTATTGTGTAAACAGTGCTTATCTCAGGATTTGTAAATTCATTGCATGTAGTTATTGTTAGTTATTTTGCGGCACTCTTACCCTGCAAGGAAATGTCACGAAACACGACAGAATCCGCTAATAAGAGTTTTATTAAGATGAAAGGGACAGAGAGTGCCCAGGCCTGTGGAAGACACGTGTAGAGAAGAAGAAGGAGCCGGGAATATGGCGCCGGCTTATAAAGGCTGGGCGTGCACAGGTTGATGTAACTACTCCATGCATGTGCGTAGATCACATGGCTACGTTGCGCGCTTACGTAACCATGCAAAGTCACGGATCCTGGTCACGTGAGATGCCTTGACTGGGAAATGGCTATCTTGACCTGGAACTGGCTAGGTGGAAGTGTCCAGGTCCGCTGGGCATATGCAAACATGCCCAACCGTGGAGGCATGTTGTGAATCCATCATCCCTTTTAAAAAAAGAGAAAAAAATTGTGGTTGAGTGGGTATGGGGTGATGTTTTTCTCAAAGATTGCTTCCGGCTGAATAGTGGGCGTCGGTTGGCTCTTGGGGGAAATGGGGAGGGTAACTTGTGAAGTCCTGGGATGATGGTGGAGAGGTCCTGGAATGACGTTCTGCCATCCCCTTGTTCTGCAGCTGTCCATCTGTGCTGTGGCTGGGAACCTTCTGTTTGACAAGATACTGTTGACATAGAAAAAGCACCTGGATATTTTTGATGGTCTTTTTTGCCTCTGGCTCTGTGTGGCCCTGGTTGGGAAATGAAGGGGTGATACCTTATTCCTCTGGAATTGGTGACAAGGCAGTGGATCCTGATGTCCTCTGGAGCTTTGAGAGTGAGAGGCCCTGTTTGTTTCACTGTATATGAAGAGAGATTTTTCTGGGATGGAGATGAGATAAAAGGTTTTAGATGAGACAGGTGGACCCAGTGAGGAAAGCCCTCGAGTTTAGCAGTTGTAGGAGTCACAAGAATTACCTTGAAGGGTCCCTGCCACTTAGGGGAAAGGGGTGAAGGGCTCTGGCCTGGAGGGAAGAGAAGAACCTGATCCCCAAAGTGTATTGGAGGTGGACAATTATTGTCACACAGCTGAGGTAATGAACAGTCTGCGTAGCTCCATAGGATAGACCTTAGGTGACATAAAAGGGGAGTTAACAGGCTATCTGGAACAGTTGGAGGGTTGGATAAAAGACCTGGTGTTAGAACTGGCCTTCCATACATTAGTTCAAATGGAGAAATTGAAAGAGGCTTTTTAGGGAGAGCCCTGAGCCTGAGAAGAGCTAGAGGCAATAATCTTACCCAGTCGAGATGAAGTTCCTGTGACATCTTAGTAAGAATAGTTTTTAAAGACCGGTTGGTACGCTCCACTTTTCCTGAGGATTGAGGACAGTATGGGATATGAAAATGCCACGGAATGTTAATAGCCTTAGCTAGTGTCTGAGAAATCTGAGAGGTGAACTCTTGGCCATTGTCAGACTGAAGAGAAGCAGGAACCCCAAACTGAGGAATAATTTCTCGGAGAAGGAGGTCTGCAACTGTCTGAGCCCGCTTATTAGAAACCGGGTATGCCTCCGTGAGAGGAGAGGCTGGCAAGGGAAAGAACTGTTAGAATCAGTAAAGTGAGTGGCTGGGAGAAGGAGGAGGGGAGCTGCTGGCGCATCTGGGATGAGGCGAATGTGTGGAAATGGACACTCCTACCTTAGCTAGAAGATCCCTCCCCATTAAAGGTACAGGGCAGCTTGGCACCACTAAGAATGTGTGTGTGAGAGGGATGCCTCTGAAAATGCAATTAAGTGGTGGTGTCTGATGAGGTAGGTAAGGCTGTCCCCCAACCCCGACAATAGGGAGATGAGCAGGAGAGGTGGGCCCCCAAAACTCTCTCAGGACAGAGTAGGTAGCTCCGGTGTCCAG